ATCGATTAATTTGAATTTAAATGACACTATTGTTCAAAAACCTTTTTATTCCTTCTCTGTGCAGGATGGAGAAAAGTTGTCCGAGTCCATCATGAAGACTGTCCTGGCCTTGTCTACAGTGTATTACTGGCTGCCTAAGAGCCAAGGTGACCAAGTCCAAGGAGTCTGTAGTGCTCTTGAATTTGAATAAGGATTAAAGACATTTTTTTTTGTCCTTCAAATTCTTAATAATTCCACATCTCAGGTGTTTGCATGCGGCGTCAGGTCAGAGATGCCACCGTGGAGGTTCTGGAGGGCATCACGCAGCTGCTGGAGGTCATACTGAGCTCGCCCCTGCAGAGGTACACCCGTGTACTGCTGCATGGGACTACATTATAGTTAATAGTTATAAAAAATGTTTTTAAAAAAATATTCTTTTTTTTTTTTTTTCCCCCCTTATTCTCTTCTTCCAATTTTCTGTCCAGTCTGTCCCAAGAGCAGCTGACGTCAACAGGAAGCGTGTGGTCGGCTTGTGACCGGTTCACTCAGCTGGCGAAAGGTCAGTCGGATTAAAAGTACAGAAAAAAGACGAGTCGGTGTGTTGCCGTGACAACCACTCACCTGTTCCTGAAGCCTTAGCGCAGGAGTGTCAAACTCATTTTGGTTCACGGGTTGCACGCGTGCAACCCGTTTAGCTGTCGGTGTGGGCCGCACCGGTACAATTATAACATAATCACGATAAATAACAATAAGTCCATGTTTTTCCCTCTTTGTTTTCATGCGAACAAATACAGCTACGTTAGATATTTATTAGTATTTATTCTTATTTAATGATTTTTTTTTTTTTTACAAAATTATCCCAATCGTGATAGAAATCTGTATTTCCGGCATCGACCGTTAGGTGGCAGTGTTCGCCTAAAAGGCTTACAACTGGTGCAGGAGCATGAACAAAAGAAAAGATGGGGATATTTGAAATAAAACGCTGTCATTGTTGTAAAGAGATACACTCTATGTGTGTGTGTGTTTACTTTTCACACAAGAAGTGTGTGTTAATGACTTGCTGCTGTGTGTGTGTGTGTGTGTGTCATCCTCAGATAACAAATCAGCAGTCCTGGTTGTCCTGTCTTCTCAGATTGGAGTTGTTAAAGACGCCCTAGAGGAGGTTGAACAGGTAAACACACTCTTACAGATCTTTGTGTCCCTCTACCAGAGGTGTGGACTCGAGTCTCATGACTTGGACTCGAGTCCGACTCGGGTCATCAATTTGATGACTTTTTTTGACTCGACTTGACCAAATGTACAGAGACTTGCAACTCGACTTGGACTTTAACGTCAATGACTCGTGACTTCACTTGGACTCGAGTCCGACTCGAGTCATCAATTTGATGACTTTTTT